AGATGGGAAAAAGTAGTAGAAAATGGAGGAAATTACTTTGATTAAGGTATTCATTCATCTTCCCTTCGAAACAAATCGATTTTCGAGACGAAAAACGATAGGAATTAAGTTTAACACCTAATACGTGGTGATATCTGTAATCATCTGCCAAAACCTATTTTTATGGAGAAATACAATCAATACTAGAAATTGAAAATGCCTATTACGATCGAAGTTGGATCTTCGTTGCTTTAAATAATTCAATCTTGAATTACTAATATGTACTATATATATACTTGCATATATACCATATTGTAGTCTTTTTCACACACACACAAACTGAATTATTTTTCCGCCGAATTATTTTTCCAGACTAAATAAACGCAATTAAAACTACTCTAGCAATCGCGAATTAAATTGATAAGCAATTTAATAATTTAATGCTACCATCAAGCATCATATATTATAAAGATGTTAATATGTTAAAACTGTTAATAAATTTATTGCGAAAAATATTACCTCGGCCGGGACTTAAACCCGGATCTCTCGTATTCTGTACGAGCGCCCTAAGCCATTAGACCACCGAGGCTATTTTTATGGAAATTTAAATTCCCTTTTACCTGCGGAATTGTGCTGTACAACACCGCTCGGAAAACTCAGCGGAAGTAAAGTGATGCAAGATATTGACTCTAACGGGATTATACAGTTAAGATACCGACTTAAAACTACTGAAATATTATTCATAGGAGTATAAACTAGAAATTTAAGCAAAAAAAATTTCGATTTTTTAAAACCTCAAAGGTGGTATCCCTCCTTAATCTTCGTTATCATACCTTAAAATTAGAACATAATATTCTGCTTATATATCTAATTTACTATTACTGTAATTCCTAATTTATTCTGTTTGATTTGTATATCAACCTTTAATCGCTTTTAATTTAAAAAAACAAAGTAAAAAATAATTGATACATATTATTTTTTAAAATGAATATTTTATATATGTGTAGAAAAAAAAATATAATCTGAAATATTAAATAATTTCATTTAGATTCTTCCAATCGTGAAGAAGCTGATTTACTTAGAGAATGGTTTGATTTAATGAAAGAACGTACGGAACTGCGTAGATATGAAAAGGAACTTTTAGTGCGTGCGCAAGAAGTTCAATTGGAAGATCGTCATGAACGATTGCAACAAGAATTGCGTGAACGTTTAGCTAACGATGGTAAATATTTCCAAATTTTCTAATTACTAATTTATTATTTTATGATAATTATTAGAATTTATCGAACATTAAATATTCTATTAAAAAAAACACAAAATGTTAAGAACGACATATTTAAATGATAAAATTACTAACATATTATTATCAGCGAGAAATTTTTAGATTACAATGTGTATATAAGCATACAACGGTTTCATGAATTGTAATATAATTTCACAGATGATAAGAAGACCAGTGATGATGTTAAAAAGGAAGGAGAAATCTTGACGGAAATGTTAGAGATAGTAGCAAAAAGGGATTCCTTAATCGCTCTATTAGAAGAAGAACGACAAAGGTGGTGTAAATCATCGTTTGACACACATATTACTTCTACAAATGCATGTTGTCCATATTTTTATTTTTTTCTCATAAATTAAGTATTTATCCTACATTTTCAAATTATTAACTATTTTATTTTATAATATAATATAAATATTGTTTATATTTTTTCAATTCATCTAGTGGAAATATTTATTAATTGTTGTCAGAAATCATTATTATCTCTTTATACAGATTTTTTTTTAATAGTAGTCGTGTGTATTTTTTTGAGTTTTTTGAAAAAATAAAGATGCACAAAGTTATATGTTATGACTTATTCGTATTATGTAAAAAGAAGAAATAAGCTAATAATAGAATGTGTTTAAAATTACTTTTTTAATCTAAATGTTTCTCTTTGATTGAAGCTAGATCAAGTGTAAATGTTTTTGAAGGAAAATCATGATTGGAGTAAATAAATTTTTGTGAATACATCGTTGTTTAACAAGTTATGTACTATTTTTCTAAAATTAATACAAATATATTTATTTCTTTTTTAGATATCAAAACGAAGATCGCGATCTCGAAGCTCAAATGTTGGCTAAAGGCCTGAGATTAACGCCAATTAAGAAATGTGGTCCTAAATATTCAGTCTAAGGAAGATACGCTTCTGTACATATATTCTCCGCTACAATTTTTTATTGCATGATAACACCAGAAGAAAATTTTATATGAGCCTAGAATATATTTCTGCCCATTTTCAATATATTCAATATTTAATAAACATATCTTTTTTACAAATATAATTAAATTTATTTTTTACATAAACGTGAAATCTACTCCATCATATTATGTAGAGTACGTTCCGTAAGGCCAAATGATACTTACAAGCGCTATAAACACAAAATTCGGAACGCACTTTTAATTGTAAAATAACATGCGCACGCGCATATGATCACTAAGTCATGATGTCCAGCGGTCCTTGAATGTCCTTGGATCCTGGAATTATACTGAAATTTTATGTATTCTGGAAAATTCCTAAAGTTTCAGAGCTTGCCTGGAATTTATCATTCTTCCATTCTAAAAAAAATTAGCGTAAAAAAAGAAAAAATAATAAAAAGGAAAGTTGTGTTTGAGTACCTTCTGTATAAAAAGTACCGGGAAATTGTCATTTAAATGAACCGCGGAAGAGGTAGCGGTAAAATGTTTTTTTTTAGGTTGGCAATTTCTCCCCGAGAGCCAAACAGTCAATAAAGACTATTATTTAAGTGTCTTGAGGCGTTTACGCGAAAATATCCGGCGAAAAAGGCCCGAATTGTGG